AAGTGTTCACCCCTTATGCAGATCTTGTTGTTGCATGAACATTAAGAAATGTCTCATGGCACCATGCAATTGTCTCTCTCCGTTAAAGACTCTGATTGCTACTGAGCACACTGTTGAGCAAAGATTCTCTTTGTGCAAGAGCAGACGTTTTCTGCAGGCAAGATGCAAGCAGAGTTCTCAGTTATTCTGTGAGCTGGATACACTAAGCTTTTTATCTTCAGCAGTCAAGTTGATCTGAGTGAAAACAACATGGCGACCTGTTGGCACAGTTGTTTAAAGCGTGAGTTGTGCAAATCGTTCAGCATCTCATCCCATAACCAGGAACATGCATACATTCCCTTATTTTCAGGTTGCAATCATCTGCAGACAGTTTGTGTGTTTGTTGGTAAAACATCTCTTGGTAGATTTTAGGTGGTAATTCTCAGAAATGAATCGCTGAGCATCAATCTACCTTGGATCAACAACCTTAACTCTCAGCTAAGATTTCACATCATTTTAACACACACTTTGAGTCTTAATTGATTGCATGAGCATGAGCTCTTGTGATATAAGGTGACATTGTGAGTAATGCTAGAATCAAAAGCTGACCAAGACATGTATAACGCTGTAATTACTCAGCACATGAGAAGCCTTATATTCAGCCTAGTCTACATCGATACCGTTCATTTTAAAGTCAGGAGTGTTTCCCATATTTAAAAATGCTCTATTTATGACAAAAAGTTACCTGGACAAAGACAGCTGGGGAAAAATCGGATGTTTTTGACCATCTACTTCAGAAACTGGGAGTGCTGGTCCCTCGAGGGCACTATCTTTCATGTTTTAGTTGTTTCCCTGCTTCAACCCACCTCAGCAGGTGATTAACAGTGCTTCTTGTGAAGCGTCTCGCAATACTTATCTTGAGAGCACTAAATAAAATATTGTTTCTTCTTTTTCACCGTCGGAGAAGACGCAAAGACATCCTAATTCCATGCTGTCGTTATTTTTGAAACACAGAAACAGTTTCGTTACCTGTTTAGTCACTACGTTTCATCTGCGGCTGCAGACTTCCTCAGGCTGACGCTGATGGTGGCGTCACTTCCTTCTCCGTTTATCCGCGGGCAGCAGAGGACGTTGTCGCCCTCTGCTGCCCGCTCTCCCCTCTCCGACGATGCAGTCCCATGTGCGGCCCAACGAGTATACTCCATCGTCCCTGTTCATGGTCCCACATCCACGTCTCCTTATCTCGATTGCTACGAAATCCCATGCAAACTCTGCAATAAAACATACATAGGAGAAACCGGACGCCAACTCAACACACGAACAATAGAACATAGAAAGGAGTGCGAGAAAGAGGCAAGTCAAAAACACACGAGAGCAGCAAAAGAAGAAGCAGAAAGCACAATAAAGGAGTCAGCCGTAACAGATCACTGCACAAGAGAAAACCATGTAATGGACTGGGGCAACACAAGGATTGCAAACACCGAACAACAAAACTACGAGAGATGGATAAAAGAAGCAATCGAGATAAGGAGACGTGGATGTGGGACCATGAACAGAGACGATGGGGTTTACTCGTTGGACCGCGCATGGGACTGCATCGTCGGAGAGGGGAGAGCGGGGCAGCAGAGGACGTTGTCGCCCTCTGCTGCCCGCAGATAAACGGAGAAGGAAGTGACGCCACCATCAGCGTCAGCCTGAGGAAGTCTGCAGCCGCAGAGGAAACGTAGCGACTAAACAGGTAACGAAACTGTTTCTGCGTTTTAAAAAGAACGACAGCATGGAATTAGAACCACGACACAGCATGAACACACCTAAGATGTGCAAAGACATCCTTTTTCTAAATAAAGGACTTAAGTATCTCTATCTGCTCTTGACTCCGAGAAAAGCCAAACTCTAAATAGTCCAGAGTTGATGCCAGAGCTGTTTCAAACAAGCCACCACCCTCTTTGTTTTCTGCTCCATCGCATCATGCCACCTACCAAACCAATAGAGCACTGTGGTTGGCTGAGGCTCCAATGGAGCGTGTCTAGAACAACATGCAGAGCAAAAATACTTTAGCTGCAGCTCCTGTTTGTCTAGATTTTAAGGCTATACCTATTTGTTGCATAATCTATAAAGGTGTAAATATAAATTTGAGTTTGTCTTCATTAAGCCTTGCTGCTTGTTAAATATTACAGGTATGTTGGATTTTAATTACAAGTTTATTTAATTTAGTAGATTCAAAGATTCAAAAGAGAAATAAACTAAAACGCTGAGTAAAGCTGCTGACTGTGACCGTGGAAACGTCAGCTCTCGGGTCTGCACCTGGAAACGTGGTTTCTGTGGTTCCTCTGTTTTGTACAACAAAAGGTTGGGGTTGTTTTGACACGTTAACCAGTTTCACAGAACAATGAATTTGATTCTGCTCAAGGCGTATGGTTAAGAGATATTGAGCCTAAATGATTTATTTTTAAATTAATAAAATTACTGAATAGAATGTTGAAGAATGCAGCATGGATGCTTGTTAACCCTCCCACTGTCCTAATGGGTGTGACCTCACGAGGAAAGTTGACCATTGAGCAGGGTTGATGATTTATCCCTTGAGTCCATGAGGCAGGGGTGAGGAGTGAGCACCACCCCGAGAGCAGCCATACAAGGCGCTCAATAATATGAATACTAGTGATAGCATGGATTTAGAGGCCTTGAACCAAAGACAATAGTAGACAGAGGGGAAGGTTCGTGCATTTAACAAGACTTTTAATAAATGAAAATGAGGGCTGCTGTAAAATTTCATCTTCAGTCCAAATCCAGACACAACCATTCTCTCTTCTGTCTTATGAACAACAGCTGGGACGAGTTTCTCCACAAACATTTTATCTTTAGTTCCAACAACACAGTCCTCTGGTTTTGACTATCTCTTGTGCTTGCTCCTTATATATATTTCCATTTGGACACCATCTATCCAGCTCCACAGATCCACCTTGTCGGCGCATCTGCCCACTGGTTGGAGGGATGCTGCGTGCTGTCCATGGACGTAATTTTCACCTTAGAAGTGGGGGGACAGGGGGTGGGGTATCTTTACATTATGCTCTAATGGGAAACAGGCTTCAACACAAACGGTTGTTTTCTGCTTGGTCCCAGAGCTCAACCAGTGTCAATTTAATATAGCGTAATATTGTTTTTGGATGGTAAAAAGTGCAGGGGTCAAAACTTGACTTTGGAAAAAGTGTGTGTGTGGGGGGGGGACAAGTCCCCCAAATTACGTCCATGGTGCTGCCAATCATTGCATGAACGTTCACGGTGTCGGATTACTCATCTCATCATTTCTCTCCTCTTGCCTGGGCTGACAGGAGCTGAAGGTGCTGTGAGCGCAGTGCTCTTTACTCCAGTGATGCTCCTTTTGCACATTTGGAGAGAATGCATCCTACTACACAAAACGAGGCTCCTCTTGGTGCATGTTGTGCTTATAGGGAGGGGCAGGACAGTCACGCTGGGAGACTGTTTATGGCTGGTGTTTGACAGATATTTTTGCAGAAATCTCAGAGCTTTCATCCAATAAACTACCAGCAGTCATTGTGCCCTGGAAAAACGTGCCGGTAATCTGAGAAGAAAAAGTATTATGTGCATACCGGTGCATACCGGCACACTGAGAGCACTGATCTGGGTTGATGTGAATGTTGCTCAAATATTTGTTTGTGCTTTCAGCATTTTGTTTGTAATACAGTTCAAAATAAACGCATTGCATAAGTGAAACGCTTCAGTTAGCATGTTTTAAATCTACGTAGATGGTCTGAGACTAAGCTTCTAAACATCACACACAGTTTAAAATTAATTTGTACCTTCTCATATCATGTTTGTAACTGTTTGCTGAGAATCTTTAGCAATTCTGCAGAAGTTTTTACTCATGGAAATCCGAAGCATCCGTTTGAAGTGTCTAGTGTTTGCCAGCAGACCCACCAATTTCCTGTTTACGTAATTTCTGCCTATGTGACCTAGCAAGCTTTCTGTCGTTTATAAAGATGTGTGAAACTAAAATCTTGATCAAAAAAGGTCACTCTCAACCCTCAAAAGAAGCCATATTAATGCCACTTGGTCAGATCATTTAAAACTGTCTATGAGAAATGAAGTAATGAGTAGCCCACTAATGTAGCAAATGTTGAGAAAGCCGACTGGAACGTATGAATGGTGCATCAATTAAGCATTTCCTTATAAAATGACTTCCTTGTTGGAGCAAATACTTCAGTTCTGGGCCATTTCCTAATCTTTAAAAGCAACACAGTCAAGTGTCTTTTGCTACATTTGCAACAAACCACTTGTTGCATGTCATTCAACATCAAGCAAAGCTTATTTAAAATAAGACCAGCTGTTTCAAATGTACATTTTAAAGGTGGTATCTGAGAAGAAGGTAACTCTCTTGTTTCTTCATTTAGAGAAAGGCCAGAATGAGTCAAGAGGTAGACCACAGGGTGCAGACGTGTGAAATTAATTTGTGTAAAACAACTTAATGCTTTAGCTAAAGCAAAGATGACAAAATATGCTAAATGCAGAGAGATTTTTATAGACACTGCATTTATAAAATTTTTTTAAAAAAATTAAAAAATGTGTGTGCATTCACTGTTTCTTAACTTAACTTGCTTTAAGAGGGCCTCAAGCTGTGAAACCCACAGCTTTGTGGTGTTTGTCAGAAGCAACAGACACTATCCGACATAAGTGTGAAGTTTCTGTCGCTCTTTGAGGTGCAGCATCATGAGCGGAGGAAAAAGAAGAGGGACTAAGTAAAAAAGATGACAAATGACAAAACATATAGCTGAGTCACAGTTTAAATGTCTAAAATAATTTAAAACAACAATGCAAAGGTCAAAACAGTAAAAAGAAAAGTCTAACAGGTTGTGTTAAACTCATTTCATTCTGGTCTCAGACTACGTGTGCTTCATTGTTGCTTTGTGCCGTTTCTGCATGAACCGCAGACATTTTATTTTCTGTTCACAATCACCAAACGTGATGTGTCATCACTGTGGGTCAGAGAGAGGATGACGACTTTGCACACCCAAAAGAGAAACCACAATCTGTATATAAGTGGGTTTATAGACCTCCAGCAGTGACAGGTGGAGGTCGATGCAGACACGATGCTCACTCTTCAGGCCCTGACGCTGCTTTATGTTCTGACATCTCTCAGACTGAATGGTAATTTAATAAGTAGTTTTGATTACCCTCAGTTAATTAGAGACATATCTAATCCCATTTTCTGTTTCCTTTTGCAGCTAATGGGAGTGAGATCATAAATGGTAAAAAAGTACCTGACAACCAGATGTTGTATATGGCCTCCGTGCAGAGCGGTAACACCCATGTATGTGGAGGGTTCCTCATCAGTAAGGACTTTGTTGTCACCGCTGCACACTGTAGCAAACCGTAAGTTCATTAGAGTAATTGTAATTTTAGAGAATTAAATTTTAATGATTTATTGTGTATTTTTTTTAAACGAATATTGATGCATTCATTTAGAAATCCAACGAGTGTTGTTCTGGGAACTCACAATCTGAAGAAGGTTGATAGCAAAACAATGAGATATGATGTCACTCAATGCAAGCTTGTGGATTTTCACAATATTGTGTCTGGTAAAGACATCATGCTTCTCAAAGTAAGTCTTGATATATATATTTTCTGAGGGTGGCTTATGGATTTATGTTAATCAATGAGTCGAGTCACATAATACATTTTTTCATCTGCAGCTGAAAAAGAAAGCAAAACTAGGCAAGAAAGTGCAACTGGTTAAGCTGCCAAAGACAGACATGACAATGAAAGCTAACACTGAGTGTCGTGTTGCTGGATGGGGCCTCACTAAAACTGGTGGTGAAGCTGTTGACCAGCTCCAAATGTCTAATGTGTCTATAGTTGACCCAGAGGAGTGCAAGAAGAGATTGGATGGCAAACTTCCAAACAATGTTATCTGTGCTGGCGGATACAAGACAAAAAATGGATTTTGCCAGGTGGGTATCTACAGGGAGGAACATAAGTATTTAACACCCTGCAATTTTGCAAGCTCTTTAACTCAGAGATCATGGAGGGGTCCGAAATTCACACTGCAGGATTTTTAAATGATTTATTTTTATTGCACCATTGCACATTAAGTATTTGAACACTTGAAATGAATTTGTGTTAATATTGGTTACAGAAGTCTTTATTTGTAATCACAGGGGTCAAACATTTCCTGTACTTCTTGACCAGGTTTGCATACACTGCATCAGGGATTTTTGCCTACTCCTCCACACAGATCTCCTCTATATCTGTCAGGTTTGGGGCTGTCGCTGAGCAACAGAGAGTTTTAGCTCCCTCCCAATTTATTTATTTTTGGATTTAGGTCTGGAGGCTAGGCCACTTCAGAACCTTGATATGCTTCTTACAGAGCCACCCCTTGGCTATCCTGGCAATGTGATTTGGGTCATTGTCATGTTGGAAGACCCGGCGACAACACATCTTTACTGCTCTGACTGAGGGTAGGAGGTTGTTAACCAAAATCTCGCAATACGTGGCTCCATTCATCCTCTTCTTAAGACAGTACAGTCGTTCTGTCCCCTTCACAGAAATGCACCTCGAAAGCATGATGTCTCCATCCCCATGCTTCATTGGACAGATGTTCTGTTCTCCAAACACGGCAACAACAGTAAAAAGTTCTATTTTGGTCTTGACCACATGCCTTTTTTCCATGCCTCCTCTGGATCACCCAGATGGTCTTTGGCATAATTCAGACGGGCCTGGACATGCGATGACTTGAGGTGGACTTTATTTTGGCAAAGTAACAGGTCTCTGAGAGCCAGAATTCTTGCTGATTGCCATGTTAAAATGCTTATACAATTAAATTCTATATAAAAGCTTACAATGTGATCTCCTGACTGTTTATAAATGCTCTCACAGTGGGAGTGCAACCACAATGTGAATTTCAGACCCCTCTAAGATTTCTAAATGGAAGAACTTGCAAAATATCAGTGTGTTCAAATACTTACACTCCTTGTTGTAAATTTGACACAAATATTTTCCAGTCCTAAATGACGGATGAACTCATCAGGCTTCTTTTTTCCACACAGGGAGATTCTGGTGGGCCTCTAATTTGCCAGGGGGTGGCCATTGGTGTTGTCTCTTTCAATGTTGGCAAAAACTGTGACTATCCAAACTGGCCAAATGTGTATACAGATGTGTCTAAATACCTTCCCAGCATTAAAAAGATGCTCCAAACCAAAAAATGTTAAGTGTAAAACCCCACCCAGACTTGTGCGCACACAGATGTGTCTAAATACCCGCCCATAACATCATGTTTCTAAAATTGTGTCTCATTTCTTATTGTTTTACTGTCTCAGATGGACATGTAGTATTAGATTTAAACATAGGGTTCTATTTTGAAATAAAAAAATGTTCATGTTGCAAATAAAAATCTACAAAAACGCCTCATTAATTGCTATTCTTGACTCTTTAAGGCTTTGTTTACAGCATGTGATTTTGATGGTCATTGCTTAGACTCTACAGAGGCAGCAGTGGTTCAGGAGGTAGAGCAGGTTGTCCAGTAATCAGACGGTTGTTGGATAGATACCAGCTCCCTGCAGAGAATTCTGCTCTTGTGTCCTTGAGCCAGACACTTTGTCCTCCTTGCCTGCTAGTTGTGGTCGGAGGGACTGGTGGCACCTGTGTTTGGGAGCCTTGCCTCAGTCAGTGTGTCCCAGGGCAACTGTGGCTACATTGTAGCTCTTCACAATCAGTGTGTAAATGTGTGTGTGACTAGATGAATGATACACTGTAGTGTAAAGCGCTTTGAAGTCCTGTGACTCTGAAAGGTGCTATAAAAGTGCCCAAGTGTGCGTGCGCTTGTTAATGACTCATTTGTTTTACTGAGAAACTTCAAGAGTGCAAGCGGGGGAGTTGAGAGAGGTGCTATCAATTAGTCTGGCCTGCCAGACTCCTCCTCTGTTTAATTCTGCACAGAGAAAGGGTCTGGGAACTCTCCTATTCAAATAACCCCACCCTGTGAGAATTCTAACCGAGCCGATCAGCGCTGAGTAGCGTACGTCACACACCATAACGCAAAGTTTGTCGAACATGGCGACTGAAGCGAAGTTCGCTGCGGCTCTTTCCTCTCTTCTAAATGACTTGAATGTCTTTAAAACCACAACAAGTACCATATTTTCCGGACTATAAGTCACACTTTTTTTTCACAGTCTGGCTGGTACTGTGACTTATGTACCAAAATGACTTATATACCAAAGTATGTATTCCGCGCTGTTGCGGGCCGGCTCCGGACCAAGAATAAGCTTCTCTGCCCCGCCGTCACCTGCTGGAGCCTATGGCGAGCTGCTGCGGGCTCTGGCCCAGGAATGAGCTCTCCCCACCCGCTGGGAGAGTTTCAAACATCGCCATCCTCTGCTGGAGACCGTGGCGCACTGCTGCGCCCTGGTTGTTTATTCTGTTATTGTTACCTGTACTTGTCTCGCAATGTGAAATGCTTGGTCTCAGATTTTGTAGGAAAAATAAAACAATTTCCTCCCAAAATGCGACTTATAGTCCAGTGCGACTTATACATGTTTTTTTCTTCTTCATTATACATTTTATGGCTGGTGCGACCTATACTCTGGAGTGACTATACTCCGGAAAACAGGATAGAAGTGCTAAAAGCCTTTCTTCTAAAAGAATAAAAAATGTTTGCGCTTTTGCCAGATGCCTTTTTTTTTTACTACAGCTAAAAAATGTCAGCGTTGCGTGGCACAGTCGGCATTTCTGTCTTTTTTCTGATTGGTTATTTTTGAGCTGCTTAGTCCCGCCCCTCATGTGCCTTTCTGCCAGTGAGCTACCAGACTCTCTCTCTGTGCAGAATTAAACAGAGGACGAGTCTGGTAGGCCAGGCTAGCCATCAATCACTCCCTCAGTGTCGTACTTTCAGTCCACCAGGCAACACCTCCTTTAACAGCATTTTTCTAAAAGAAAATGTGAGTAAAATAAGTCTCCACCCATGGTGTGACTCACCCTTTAAAGGAACGTGTGTAAAATAGAAATGAAAGAGTTTTTAAAATGTGACCAAGCATCCTCATGGAGCAGAGGCTGATTCTATGCCATTGTTCTTTTGCCAGGTCATGTAAAAAGGCCTGCTCACTGAAGTTTTGTAGCAGACGTTTGCTGATGATTCTTTTTTTTTCTCTTAATGTTTGCATTATTGCAAACACAAGCAACAATGCAATGGTCACTAAGACTTTGGTGAAAAAAAAAGCTGCACATGTGTATGTTGTTGGTCTATTGGTGAGAAATTTATCAATTCGTGTTCCATTATCAAAAAAAAGAGCTGATGAAGACAAAGATAAGGAATGCTTTGAGCAAGAAATATACCTTTTTTCTGAAAGAGATGAGTGGAGTCTGAGAGGACAGCAGAGCGGTTGAAGCAGATACGAAACTTGAGTATATAATTCACCCATCCACTAGGGGTTGTACGAACTAGTCGACTAGTCGACTTCACGGCTCTGTAGTGACTTTTTATGCCTGTCATCAACTAGTCGCTGTCACGTGATAATGACTGACAAGATGCAGTCCTCGGAAAAGACAGCAGGTGATGAGCCCCTGCGCGTCTGGATCGATGCGGAGGCGACGCGCTGTGCGGTACTGACACCGGTGGTAAAACGGACATTTAACCAAACTGTGACGTTTTCCCTCTTGTAATTTAACCTTCCCCTCACCCCCATCCTAATCTTAACCAGTTTGCGCATGCAAAGCTCTGATCGTTGACGTGCGCTCCAGACATTGCATCCTGAGCACCGCCAAATCAGGTGTCACCACCTCAAAAACAAATTAAACACGCGATCGTTCATGTCGGCTCATTTCCTTTCATGTTTTCTGTCTGTTATTTGTGCCTGATGCGCTTTGCTGCTGCGGAGCGAGGCGCATCACCTGTTTTGTCCTCCGGTGACGCATCCCCAAGATTCCACTATCTCCACTCCGCTCCGCTCTGGCACGAACTCCGCAGCAAAAACGGTCCCGTTGTAGTCAGCCGGCGAGCAGCGGCACTCCGCTGTTTTTGTGGTCGGTAGATCTTTTAGAACTGCAGTTCAAAGGTAACTCATAAGGTGAATATATATGAACCCAGGTAGCAGTTTTTCTTTAGGGATTGAGAGGAGATGCAGGAAGATAATAAACAGACAGGACAGAAAAATAGTCAAATAAAAACAAGTTAGTTTTTGTACCTGGTGGTTGCAACAAACAGACACCACTGAAGGTAATCAGAAGTGAGGAACAGAAAATGAAATAATTATTTTAATGTTTAGAGCAGCAGGAAAGGCTGCAGGCGCATCAGTGAGTTTGCGGCTACTGCGCAGGGGGAGAGGGGAGAGGGGTGAAGTAGGATGCAGAAACTACCGTTGTTAAAAGAGATGTGTTAACTTAGCAAATGTGGGCGCAATTTTAATTGTCAAAAACTCCAGCGAACCTACCGACCGACCCCCCCCCCACCCCCACCCCCCACCCCCCGCCGCTTCCGGCGTATGACGTCATCAACGACTAGTCGAAGTCGACTCGACTTTCATTACTTGACTGTCGACTTTAAAAAAAATAAAGTCGTGCAGGCCCTACCATCCACCTGTCCATCCATTTTCATCCACTTTTCTGGGGTCGGGTCATGGGGGCAGCAGCCTAAGCAGGGAGGCCCAGACTTCCCTCTCCCCAGCAACTTGGACCAGCTCCTTCAGGGGAATCCTAAGGCATTCCCTGGCCAGCCGAGAGACACCCTCCAGCTTGTCCTGGGTCTTCCTTTGGGTCTTCTCCCGGCTGGACGTGCCCGGTAAGCCTCACTAGGGAAGTGTCCAGGAGACATCCTAACAAGATGCTCAGGCCACCTCAATGGACTCCTCTCGATGTGGAGGAGCAGCGGGTCTACTCCCAGCTCCTCCTGGATGAACAAGTTTCTCACCCTATCGCTAAGGGAGAGCAGTCACCCTGTGGAGAAAAATAATTTCGACCGCTTGTATTTGCAATTTAATTCTTCTTGTCACTACCCAAAGCTCATGACTGTAGGTGAGGGTAGGAACGTAGATCGACCGGTAAATCAAGAGCTTTGCCTTCCGGCTCAGCTCTCTCTTCACCAAGACAGATCGGTACAACACCCGCATCACTGCAGATGCAGCACCAATCCGCCTGTCGGTCTTGCTCTCCATCTTTCTCTCATTCATGAACAAGAGCCGAGATACTCAAATTCCTCCACTTAAGGCAGGACCTCATCCCTGACCCGGAGAAGGCATTCTACCCTTTTCCAACTCAAGACCATAGTCTTTGATTTAGAGGAGCTTATTCTCATCCCAGCTGCTTGGTTGTGAACAGTTCCAGTAAAGCTGGAGATCACGTTCTGATGAAGGCAACAGGACCACATGTTCTGCAAAAAACAGAGACTCAGTCCTCAGGCCACCAAAATAGATCCCATCAACACCTTGGCTACACCTAGAAATCCTGTTCATAAAAGTTATGAACCAAATCTGTGACAAAGCACAACCTTGGTGGAGTCCAACTCTCACTGGAAATGAGCCCGACTTACTGACGGCGATGGGGACCAAGCTCTGGCACTGATCATACAGGGACCTAACAGCCCACATAGAGGCCCTGGTACCCCATAGTTCTGAAGTACCCCCCACAGGGCACCACAAAGGACGCAGTCGAACGCCTTCTACAAGTCCACAAAACACATGTAGATTGGTTAGGCAAAGTCCCACGCACCCTCCAGCACCCTCACAAGGGTATAGAGCTGAATATAAAACAATCTTCAGAAAACATTCAGTAATAAGAATCTTAAGGGAGCACAGGAGGTTTGTGCAGAACTCTGTGGCTAGGTTCCTGACAGGCACTAGATGTCGAGAGCACATTACCCCAGGGCTGTCTGCTCTGCACTGGCTCCCGGTAAAATATCGAGCTCAGTTTAAAATCTTAACTCTCGTTTATAAGGCCCGCAGGGCAGTGCCCCCTCGTACATTACTGCGCTTTTGAACAGGTATGCTCCATCTCGGTCTCTTCGCTCAGCCGAGCAGGAACTTCTGGTGGTCCCCTGGTCGAAATTTTGATCGAGGGTTTGTCGTGCTTTTTCTATTTTGGCTCCAACTCTGTGGAACGAATTGCCACTGAGCATTAGGCAGGCACCATCCCTTCAAGTCTTTAAGTCTCGTTTAAAGACTCATTTTTATTTGATTGCGTTTGAGCGCTAGGGTCATTTGAAGTGCCCTAACATTATGGTTTTAACTATTCTTCTTTTTAACCCAGAGGCTTGATTTTATTTTGTCCGACATTTGTTTTTTTTATCGATTAGTCTTATTCCGATATCTCTCTTTATCTGTAATAGTGTTTGCTTGATATTTTATGATTTTATGTTTTTATCCTGCTTTTATGCCCATGTACTGGGAATGTCTTTCTTTTAATGATGTTGTTCAGCACCTTGGGCTTCCGATAATGTTGTAGAAGGTGCTATAAAAATAAAATTTGATTGATTGATTGATTGGTAAAGATGGTATGTTTGGTCGGTATGTTTGGTCTAAGAAGAAAATATTATAACATAAATTACATTTTCAGTTTTTTTCGATTGCTAAAACTCAAAAAGCAAAAATGAGGCACAATTTTCACAACCTCTACTTCTGTTCCCAGTCGCTTGACTCAATTTATCACTACTTAAGATTTCCTTATCAAATTAGAACTCTGATTTTCCTCCTTTACACTCTGATGCCAATTTCACATTACCTTGCTGTCAAAACACAGCACACAATTTTCAGGTTTACACACACTTTCCACATAAATTCTCAAAGCTTCAATCAACAACACACAAATATTCAAATCTCTAAACTTTCGGGTCTGGCGAGCAGTTTGCAATCAGGGACTGCAGCATAAAAGTAAGTTTCCACAAGGCTACCCAGGTGTATGTGTGGTTTCAGGACCACCCACGGTTTTCCATTTTATACCTTCCACCTTATTCCCCCTTCCTCAATCCCACTGGGGAGTTTTTCTCAGCCTGGAGGTGGAAGGTGTACGAAAGGAATCCACGGAGCCAGGTCCCACTGCTTCAAGCCATGGAGGAGGCTTGTAGAGATGTGGCCTTTGAGGCCTGTCAGGGCTTCGTGAGGCACTCGAGGCGGTACTTCCAGCGCTGTTTGGACCAGGAGGACATCACCTGTGATGTTGATGAGGCCCTCTGGCCAGACAGAGAGACCGGCGGCATGATCCCCCATGATTATGCTTGGATGGGATGGATTGGTGATGGTGGTGAAGGGGGGTGGGGGGGGGGGGGGGGGGGGGTAACTGTAAAAATAAAATGTTTTGTCTCAAAATTTGTGTGATGTCTAATGTTTGTCTCAGAGAAAAGTGGGCACCGTCATACATTCAGTGTGTAATTCATTGTGTTCCATTTAGACAATTGTGTTTTCAGTTTTGCTCTTCAGTGTTCTTTCCATGCTTGGTAGTGTTCACCCAAAGGCTACTTGTGTTTAAGCAATGAATGGTATGTGTGTGTCATGTGAAAATGTGGCTGTGTTCACCAAATGAAAACACGTGTTCCATTTTGGGAACATGTTACGATATGTGGTGGCAGGGTTTTGTTGCAAAGGGAAGCCACGGTTTAGCAATTTGTGTGTTATGTTTGGGGTTTTGTGTGTGCAGTTTTGAAAGAAACGTACAGTTTTGAAAAACGCGTTTTAGCAATCGAAAAAAACTGTAATGTCTGGACAGATTTACAAGACGATTGCTGAAAAAACTGCATCATGTGGGAGTGCTCATCTCCTGTTTATGAGCAGCAGGTTGTGTGACGATCCAGACACAACCCCTTTGTGAAGAGTTTATACTAACCCTTCAGTTCACAGATTTAGAACACCATGAGTTAGAAACAACAGAACTGAAACGGACTTTGTCTCCTAGGCTATGTGACCTTTTAAAGCCACCTAAATAGATTTCTGACCCCGACCCTGTCCTTTTCCATTGCCATTTGAAAATGATCATTGAGTCATACATTTTCTAATGTTTGGGCAGACCGCACTTTTTTGATTTGAAGCATTGTAAAATGTGCTGCAACTGTTTTTCATTTCATACAAAAGGTGAGCTGCTGTTCTCATGATAAAAACGTGCATGCCGCTCATTTTCAAACATGGCTTTTGCAACAACTACCATTTTCACATAGGTATAAGCAAAAGAGCTACAGTCAAGTTTTCTGTGACTGATGGGCTTAGGATTGCATGACAGACCAATTTTTGAAGATGAAGAAAGATTATGCAGACATGCAAACGTTCCGTGTGGTAAAGGAAGTTAATCTTGATTTAGCTAGATATTGACCATGAAACAAAAGGGGCTTCATAAAATCTATTTTTCATGCTCCTGCAAGCAGAAGCAGCATCATTCAGGGTCCAGGTAGCTTCCTGCACATCCATGTTCTGGTGTGTCTTGGACAAATTGGTAATCTTTTTTTTTTTACTTGTCTTTGTGATCATACATAGCCCTAAAACAAACTGAAGTACAATGATAACTGTCATGCGGACAATGTTTGAAAGATTGTAAAATATGATAAAACTTACAAAAAAGACACAACATGTTATCACAGATGTGGTTTGACGTAGTGGTCTGTTTCTGAGCAAGCTACCTATAAAAAGCCCATCTTTACATTCCTGAGCGCATAAGCTAGAGTCACTGGCAGCATGCACGGGCTGAATAAACTTCTGCATTTCTGTGTTTTGGTGTGCTTCGCACAAACTGGTAAGAAATAAAATCTTATTTCTTATTCTGAAACTGTGATTTAGTCACTAACCTGATGTTTATTTTTCAGTTGGTGGTAGTGAGATCATAGATGGGGAAAAAGCTCCAGAGGACTCAATGCAGTACATGGTCTCACTGCAAACCAGATGGGGTCACGAATGTGGAGGATTTCTAATCAGTGAAGAGTTTGTGGTAACTGCAGCACACTGTAGAGATCACGCAGCGTAAATTTACAGTTATAGTGATTAATCATGTGTGAAAATAGTCTCAGAATGTACCGATAACATTCCAATGATCAACTCTTTAGTCTTCAGCACGTTCGTCTGGGACACCACGATCTCAAAGAAGCCAAGTCAGTCAGTATTGAATATACGTGCAAGTTTCCAGCTTATTGGAGTGTAGGACACGGCAATGACATCATGCTTGTTAAAGTAAGTTCATATTTATTCAAAAACTGTTTTCTAGTGATGTTCTGTTAATAAAGTTTTAATAATGATCCCAGTGTTTTTGCCGGAAAAACAAGCCTGGATTTGAGGATAGGTCATACAATAAAAAATGAAATGCTTACTGGTTTCCAGATGTTTGTAGTTGAATGAGTGAAAAAATGAATAAAATGGTGAGTTTGGTTTCTACTTTTGTCTTTCCTCAGCTGGCAGAGAGGGCTCCTCTAAACAGCAAAACCAAAACAATTCCACTTCCTAATTCTGCAACAAATCTGAAGGAAAATCAGACGTGCTCTGTGGCTGGATGGGGAAAGACAGAAACTCACCGCTATGGTGTCACGGAGCTGAGAGTGGTGAGCGTGTCCATCATAGATCCACCAATCTGTCAGGAGATGTGGGGAAATGATCTTCCTCGTAACGTCATCTGTGCTGGTGGATTTGGCACTAAAAAGGGATTCTGTCAGGTACATCCTCTGGTTTCTGGTATCAAATCATCTGAATATCATTTGTCAAATGGAAAAAAAAAATTAGTGAATTTCTTCCTCTAAACAGGGTGACTCTGGTGGTCCACTGGTGTGCAACGGGGAAGCTGTTGGGGTTGTGTCTTTTAACAAACATGCCAACTGCGACTACCCAGACGTACCGAATGTCTATACAGACCTCTCCAAGTATCTCCCATGGATTCACAATGTTCTGAGAGAAAATAAGTGTGTGTAAAACGCTTTTACAATGATTTCACTCAGCAAAGCTTTCGTAATAAAGACAAAACTGTATTGTTTCTGTCTGTCAGTTTTGCTCTTATTATGAAATGGAAAATGAAATGCTTTCAAACATGCTTCTCTTTTTATTCTAACAGACACACAATGTTAGTGTGGATCACCACTCAGAACTAAAAACTTGATATACATTCAAACATTAAAATATTGATTAGATAGTTTAAAAGTTGTTTCTGTGATACAAATATAAATCTTTTTAACCAAACACACTGTAGAAAACTGTCTGAACTGCCTTTGTTCCTTTCACAACTGAAGGATATTTTAACCCTTGTGTTGCCATTGGTTCTGTATAACATTGCTATTTTGGCAGAAATTACCACCAGTCTTGATTCACAGCCTCTATGCATATGGCTTAAACAACTCTTTCAGTGATCATCCCAACACGGGCATTTTAAATCAACTACGTGTAACTTGGGATGTCCCGATCAGGTGTTTTTGCCCTCAGATCCGAGTCATTTGACCTTGAGAATTTGCTAATACCGAGTCTTGATCTGATCCTTTTGCTACAAAACAAAATAATAAAGAAAGCAACTAAACAGATCCAGAATGTTGCTTTTTCAAATTAAATTTATTTTATTTTTGCATTTAGGAACTCTGTTAACAAACTTCTGTAAAGTAGCTCGAACAATCAAGTAATAAATAACAAAAATTATTCACTTTTGGACTTTAGTGAAAACATAAAAAATTTAATTTAAAAACAAATAGCACCTCAGCTTAAAATACCTGGCAGGGGTCTATTCTATTGCTAAGCTGAGTCCCATTTTGTCCCTTACTGAACTTGAGACAGTTCTCCACACCTTCATCTCCTCACACTTAGACTACTGTAACTCTCTTTTCACGTGTTTGAGCAGAACCTCCCTGAACCGTCTGCAGGTGGTTCAGAATGCCTGTGCTCGGCTTCCGACCAAGTCCTCCAAACACACCCACATCACCCCGCTTCTCCTCCAGCTTCACTGGCTGCCAGTCAACTTCAGGGTTCATTTCAAGATCCTGGTTCTGGTCTACAGGGCCTTACATGGACAAGCACCATCATACATTGGTGATCTTCGGCTTCCTGAGACAGTTCTGTATAAACCTCCCAGCTCACCATTGGTTTCTGTGGTTTTGGTTGGTCAATCAGCTGCTGATGTTTTTTGTGTCCCAGACCCATGAAAGGCTGTCAGCTGGCCTGCATGTAATTATTACTATTACTGTAATCTTTCAGTCACAATGTTTTGTGTTTGTTTTGTTTTTCACCAATTCCTAAAGAATATGATGACTGTATTGCGCACTTGGGGGTTCTCAGTGACTATTGCAGATCCTGACTGTAGAATGTCTCAGTGGCTGTATTTGCGCCAAATTTTCCCTATTTATTCAAGTCTTGTTTGATCTGAAATCCTAAATCTCTGTTTATATGAACACTAACTGAAAGATTTATTTTCTTATTCTCCAGCTTTGTCCGTTAACTTATGGTTTTCCCCCATTATGTACCTTCTTCACATTTCTACCTGTATGTTTTTACTGATCGCTTTAACTAAGCTACAGGCTCAGCTGTACTGTTCCTCTGCCACAGGTGTGATACTGAAAAACTAGTTCATGCATTTATTACATCAAGACTGGATTACTGTAGTTCATTACTCTCAGGAAGCCCACAGAATGTAGTTAAAAGTCTTCAGCTTGTCCAAAATGCAGCTAGAGTTCTGATGAGAATTAAAAAGAGAGATCATATCTCTCCTGTCTTAGCTTCCCTACATTAGCTACCTGTTAAATTCAGAATAGATTTTAAAATCCTCCTTCTCACATATAAAGCTCTTAATAATCAAGCTCCATCATACATCAGTGTGTGACACGAGTGGGACCTGTAGGAAAATTAAAATCTGCAGTGCCAAAGTTTAAGATTGGTTCACTGATAAACTAGTAAAAAAAGGTATAAAAGTTAAAATATTACTATCAAAAGGTTCTAAAACAAGGCAAGCAGTGCAACCACAAAAGCAAATTAGAGGAAATGTATTCCAAAAACTCAGATGATGATGCCAAAATGAACTCTTAAATAAGTCTGTGCTGGGCCTCAGGGGACAAATTCAAATTCAAATTTAAAGATACTTTATTAATCCCAGAGGGAAATTAGAGTTTCAGTACACACAATTCTGAGATCAAACATACATACATAGGCAAAGACACATGACGAGAATTGGTGACTGTGGTCATTCACAACTCGAGTCACGCTACCTTAATAGAGATCAGAGGGTTTATATGAGGACTGAGTCAGGTGGAGTAAAAAAAAAGGCACTTCAGAGTTACCCTCCTCAGGGAGGGCAGCTTTGCTATGCAAAAAACACCTCAGACAGAAATGCAACAGACTTCAGATATCACACAACATAAGTGTCCACTGGGTGGGGAGGTAGGTTTGGGGACTCTCCAAACATCAGTGCATGCAGCCACGATAAGCAGCGCTCGTCACATCCGTTTGGACAGGGGAGGGAGATCGTTGGGTTAGAAAGCACAGTGACTCCTGGAAATGGTTCCACGGCCTTCACCGGTCTCAGTCCCGCCCAGGCTGGGATAGGGAGACAGAGTTGCCATGGCGACAGCAGCATTCCACATTTCTTCTGAGGGGGAGTAATCACTTCAGCCTCACAGGCTCAAGGGCACCAGATTCAGATAAGAACTTGTTTTGGGGACAGACAGAGATAATTTCCTTTCTGCCTTAAAGTTCTGTTGGTCTCCAACCCCTCTCGATCCAATAATGGCGTAAATTAATCGATTCCCAACCGTGCTGTCCCGTCAGCTCGCTCCTTGATCGAATCAACCTTCTGTGCCAGAGCCTGAATCTCAGCCAAAGTTCCAAGCTTACGACTCATCTCGACAATTATATGAGTTTGTGCATTCACAGCGCAGTGTAATCTATCCCTGAGCTCCGGGATTGAGCCAAAATTCCTCAAAAGCTCATTAATTTTCTGGTAAGCCAGGTGACCCAGGTCTTTCATCTATTTCTCAAAATCTAAAAACCGTTGTGACAAACCTGGGTGTGAAGATGGTTTCATCTCTAAGGATGGACACCCAGGTCAATGCCACTGTAAAATCTTGTTTTTTCCGGCTCCACCATCTGTCCAAATTAAGAGCTCTTTTATCTAGAAAAAAAATTGGAATCAGTTGTTCATGCCTTCATCACATCTAGGCTCGACTACTCAAATGCAGTTTTGCTGGGTGTCAATAAGTCAACCCTTCCCCGACTTCAACTCATTCAAAACGCAGCTGCTAGATTCCTAGCACGTACTGACAGGCGCCAGCATATAACACCAGTTCGCAAATCCCTTCATTGGTTGCCCATCACTTTCAGGGTCCACTATAAACTGCTACTTTTTGTTTTCAAATCCCTCCATGATCTTGCCCCCGTGTACTTATCTGACCTTCTTTCAATTTATACTCCCGGTCGCACACTCAGGTCCTCCAGCCTGTTGCTCCTGGAGGTCCCGAAAGTGTGTTACAAATCATGTGGACAAAGAGCTTTCTCTGTTGCGGTTCCTAAACTGTGGAACGAACTTCCAGTCACAGTTTGACTGGCATCCACCTTGGCAGATTTTAAGTCTAGACTAAAGACACACTATTTTACCCTTGCACTTAGCTGTTAGTTTGGCTTTTACTACTCTTATTTTATTGTCCATTGTAAGGTTTCATTGGTTTTATTAGTACTTTTTTTGTCTTCTTGTCTTTTTTTATTGTTGGCTGTCTTTTATAGTACTGTTTTATGTTTTTTTATCTCTAGTATTGTGCGACTGTTCAGCACTTTGGTCAGCCGTATGGCTGTGTTTTTAACGTGCTATATAAATAAAGGTGGTATGGTATGAAAAAAATCTTGTCAATCGCTTTGAGAGACCAACTGACCAGGTCCATTTTTAATAGTTTCCAGTTTCCAGAAAAAATGCAGAAGCGCTGTACACCCAAAGACAGACAAAGAGCCTTGGGATAAGATAGGGAGGAGAAGAGAAAAAAAGTGTCTGTACTCTCCAAGAGCTGGAAAAAGAAAAAAAAACTCAGATGATGATGCCAAAATGAACTCTTAAATAAGTCTGTGCTGGGCCTCAGGAGACAAAGCAGTCCAGTCCAGCCCTGCTGAGCTCTCGACAGGGAAGCCTTCACGACCCCGCCCTCCTGCGGTGCACGTCGTCCTCGGGGAGCCACAGGATTGCTGCACGGTGGATCCAATACTCCTCCTCGGCCCGGCCACTGTGGGCACACCAAAAACTTTGCCAATAAAAGGTCCCCGGCACCAGACCATGCACAGAACAGCAAACTCCAAACACAGGCACGTTTTCTCAAGACACCACTGTCCAGGGTGCATCTCTGCCTCTTAGCAGGTTCTCCTGTCGGCCATCCCAGCTGTCTCTCCCCCTTGGTCCACATGTTCCTCCCTTTAAATAAAACCCTGTCCACCTTCGCCCCTGCTTGCGTCTGTTCATTGATTGGCAGTCCAGGCCACACTCTGCCACAGGTGTAGATGATTGGGGTGATTGACACAGAACGGAAAGCAATGTTGCACCAAACAAACTAAAAGCACACCATCAATAAAAACATGCACAATAGAATAAAAAAAGTACATTACCACTCTGTGACAAGTGACCTGATTGTTCCATACGTTCCTAACCGAGCACTTTGCTCTCAGACTGCAGGTTTACTGGTGGTTCCCAGAATATCTAAAAATAGGATGGGAGGCAGATCTTTTAGCTATCAGGCTCCTCTCTTGTGGAACCAACTCCCAGCTTTAGTCCGTGAGGCAGACACCTTGTCTACTTTTAAGACTAGGCTTAAAGCATTTTAATTTGATAGGGCCTATGGTTAAAATCGGATGTTAGCCCAAATCTGGACAAGTGGGGGAGTAGAGGGAGGTGGAGTGTACAGACGGTAAAGACTGCTCTCCCTTGCCCTGCCTCCGACATGCCTCCATCTAAAAGGCTAGGTTATCCAGAGTTATCTCTGTAGTTATGCTGCTCTAGGCTTAGACTGCTGGACGACATACTGACCACTTTCCA